TTTTTGTAGCTAATATAAATGAAATTGTTGCCTTGGTTTCTTTTTTAGATATTCCACTGTTAGTGTACAGAAATGCTACTCATTTTTGTATGTTGATTTTGTATCGTGTAGCTTTACTGAATTCATTTATCAGTTCTATCAGTTTTTTGGTGGAGTCTTTAGGGGTTTCCATATATAAGATTATGTCATCTGCAAACCGAAACAGTTTAACTTCTGTCATCAATTTGTATGCCTTTTCTTTCTTTCTCTTGTTTCTCTGGCTAGGAATTCCAGTACTGTGTTGAATAAAAGTGGCAAGATTGGACATCCTTGCCTTGTTCTTGATCTTCAAGGAAAAGCTTTCAGTTTTTTTGCCTTTGAAGGTGTTAGCTGTGAGTTTGTCATATATGGCCTTTATTATGTTGAGGTACATTCCTTTTATACCTGATCTTTTGAGTTTTTTTTTTTTTAATGAAAGGATGTTGAATTTTGTCAAATACCTTTTCTCATCTATTAACATGATTATGTATTTTGTCTTTCATTATGTTAATGTGATGTGTCACATTTATTGATTTATGTATGTTGAAAAATCCTTGCATCCCTGGGGTAAATCCCACTTGATTATAGTCAGTCATCTTTTTAATGTGCTTTTTAATTTGGTTTGCTAACATTTGTTGAAGATTTTTGCTGTTATGTTCATCAGGGACAATGGCCTGTAGTTTTCTTTTTTTGTAGTGTCCTTGTCTGGATTTTGGTATTAGGGTAATGCTAGCCTTGTAAAATGAGTTTGGAAGTATTCCCTCCCCTTTGATTTTATGGAAGAGTTTTAGAAGAATTGGTGTTAATTCTTCTTTAAATGTTTGCTACAATTCAGCAGTGAAGCCATCCATTAGGTGCTGGGCTTTCTTTGACGGGAGACTTTTTATTACTGATTCAATCTCCTTACTCATTATTGGTTTGTTCAGATTTCCTTATAATTCAGTCTTTTTAGGTTGTATGTGTCAAGGATTTTATCCATTTCTTCTAGGTTATCCAATTTGTTGGTGTATAATTGTTCTTAATAGTCACTTGTGATCCTTTGCATTTCCGATGTATCAGTTGTAATGTCTCATGTTTCATTTCTGATTTTGAGTCTTTTCTCTTTTTTTCTTAGTCTAACTAAAGGTTTATTGATTTTGTTTAACTTTCCAAAAAACCAACTCTCATTGTCATTGATCTTTTTTAAGATACAAAAGGCCCAGTCACCAAGAGTTTGATTTTTTTTTATAATCACTGCTAATTTTGTTAATTTGGAGGAAATTGATAGCCTATTTTTGAGCATTCAAGTGTTCAAACATTCAAATGTTGCAACAGAACATTAAGAAATATCTTCCTGAAGTAGTACAAGAAAAAATGGATTGAAATTTCATTCATTACTACCTCTCAATATTTTTCTTCCAGTTTTTTTTTTTGAGGCAGAGTCTTACTCTGTTGCCCAGGCTAGAGTAGCATGGCATTACCCTAGCTCACAGCAACCTCAAACTCCTGGGCTCAGGCAATCCTCCTGCCTCAGCCTCCCAAGTATCTGGGACTATAGGCATACACCACGATGCCTGGCTAATTTTTTTATATTTTCAGTTGCCCAGCTAATTTTTTTTCTATTTTCAGTAAAGATGGGGTCTTGCTTTTACTCAGGCTGGTCTCAAACTCCTGAGCTCAAGCAATCCTCTCACCTTCGTCTCCCAGAGGGCTAGGATTACAGGTGTGAGCCACCGTGCCCAGCCCAGTTTTTGTATTTTATAGCTCATTGACTTAGAGTTTGACAGAGTGCTAAAAGTCATCTTTAGTGAGCTCTGAAATTTTTGGATCCATTTTTACCTAAATAATTAAAACTATCTGACAGGACCATAAAATGCTTGTTACCATTTACAACAACCTATAATTGTGAATGGGACTCTTTAATAAGAATATTAAATTAGAAAAAAACTATCATTCTGTAAAATGGCCAATAATGTTAGTTTTATTGATCAGTTTTGTTCTTTAATATCTTTTTTAAACTTTCAGCATTGATGCTGATGGGACAATGACAGTGGACTGGAATGAGTGGAGAGACTACTTTTTATTTAATCCTGTTACAGACATTGAGGAAATTATTCGTTTCTGGAAACATTCTACTGTAAGTAGTGTGCTTTGTGTTTTTATACTTACGTGGTGCTGTAAGCAATAAGTATAGTTATCACCCAAGAACACTCTAACACTTATGGGCCAGGATGCCTAAGTCCCAGTAGTTCGCTAACATACTGTAGAGTTCTGTTTCTCCTATTAGGCATAGATTTATAGCATCTTAAAAAAACCCAAGACTGCATAATCAGCCATTTTCGAAAGTTGGAAGAAACACAACCTTGATGAACAAGCTGTCCAGCTTTACTGACATTTAAATATTCTCCCATAGGGAAGTATAAAAGTCATAGGCTTTTGCTTTTTATAGATGCTATATTGTCTAAATATCTCAACACCTCATGATTGCTAAGGATCTGTTTCCTTGGCCATAGATGATATGGCCAGAGGTCCCTTCTGAAACTTTTGCTTGTTTAGTCAAACTGCCTAGGTTTGTCTCTCATGGAAGGCTAACTTACAATAATCATCAATGGTTACAGAATCTTTTTGGCTCATCTGCTCAGCATTTCACATCAGTGTGTATTCCACAAAACTTTCAAATTCTGATTACGTTTCGTTCATATACTGCTAAAATATACTGGTATAAATCAAATTCTATTATTGTGCAATATGCTCCTGAAAGCATTGGGAGCTCTCTTAAGGAATTTCTTTTCCTAGTGGGGTTGCCTTCTATACTTATTCATGGATTTCATTAAATTTAATATGCACTAAATGAAGCATGGAGTTCACATTGCAGCTAGTACGATGCCTAAGCTTACATAGAGCATTATAAAATTATTGGTGATTAATGCTTTTTCAACTATGAGTATAAAATTATACTATATTAGTAGTTCAGTTGCCTAGATAAATTTTATACTTATGTGTGGTTTTATATACTAGATTCTTTTTGTATCTTTGAAGATAATTGATAACACTTGAGGCTACAGTCATATTCTGTTGTATTGATGATAAAATGAAGGAAGGGAGGGTTACTACCATAGCATAGCTCCTTCCCTTTAGACTCTTGCCTGTAAAATCCTTTATGCCGAAATCATTTAGATAATAAAGTTGTGAAAATATTATCATTGTAGATAATATTTCTCTCAAGCTTTATTTATAAATCTATAGTAATGTTTCTCTCAAGCTGTATTTGTAATCTATAGTAATGTCAAGAATAGATTGGAGGGGTAATTATTTCAAACAATAACTTCCTGTTAGCTAAATTTTATATAGAATCAATTGCATGTTTTAAATGACAAGTCAGATTTATCAAAATATTTATAGACAGGCAATATAGAAAATGAGTTTGGTGGGATATCCACACATATAGTTTTAATTTAATTTCTATTTACTTATTTAAAGCATATATCATGGTATAAAGTATAATGTAGATATAATTTTGAGATAAAGGGAATATCATTGAAGAATTGACAGACTAATTTCTTAAAAGATGTCGTCACCAGTTGGATGTGGTTTTCTAGCCTTATGAAAAGTGATTATCTAAAAAGGATTCACTACACTTGATAAAATGCTGCCGTTTCATTCTGACTTACACCGAGGAGAAAAGTTCGTCTGAATGTATTAAGAAAGAAAGTTGTAATTGTTGATTTTGTAAATTTGTAATTACTGTCAATTTCCATTTCTTGTGAACTGATACTATAGTGTGACTAGAGTATTTATAATCTATGTGCTCAAATTTGTTCAGTATGAATTCTAAGGAGTAAAGTTGATCTTAACTGTAAAATAATACATGATTTTTCTCTAAAACAAACAAAAAAACTCCTTCTGTTATTATCTGTTTTTAACTGAAGGAGCATGGGACTCTTTTTTACATTTTAACAGGGAATTGACATAGGGGATAGTTTAACTATTCCAGATGAGTTCACGGAAGACGAAAAAAAGTCTGGCCAGTGGTGGAGGCAGCTTTTGGCAGGAGGCATTGCTGGTGCCGTCTCTCGAACAAGCACCGCCCCTTTGGATCGCCTGAAAATCATGATGCAGGTGAGCTTTTGTTCTTGTGTCCAGATTTGTCTTAAATAGTCAAAAAGAATGAGAAATGTGTTGCTTTGAAAAAGAAGTTTTAAGACTTCTCAGTAATAGTCTTTCATACCTTTAAGAAAAAATTATTTTGTTGCCGTTAACCCTGAATTCAGTTCGTGTAAGTATTACATTGTTGTACCAAACTTTACATTGTTGGTATAAGTATGTAACGAACTTCTAACCTTTGGCCTTCTGTGACTATTCAAATGTTTAATTTAAAAAAATCTGTAGCCATTATTGTAGGATTCTCCTTATTTGTATTTTCCTTCTTATTTATGTACTTGACCAAAAGTGGGG